TTCTATGATTCTATGATTCTTTGGTGTGTGATTTAATTTGAAGTTCTTACTAGACTAATGAATTAAAATACTACACTTTATTTTTATCTCAAATGCCAGATAGTGAGAATCTTTGAATCCAGATGCTTGTCAAGTGTTCTTTTGTTCTGATAATGTTGTGCTTGCAGGCTACTCTCTATCAGAACTTTCATCCTGATTTCTCCCTTTTGGGTGAATGGTGAGAGGGAAGAAAAGTACAGGTATTTTAAAAAAGAAGGAAAGGAAAAAGGCAGAACCGAGATAGAGGTTTCTGTAACTGTTACATCCTAGAACAGTGTTCTGTGCATGTGACTGCTTTCCAGTTTCTTCACTTTCCCTGCTCTGTCACTCTTTCAGTTGTTCCAACTGTTGTCACAAATCAGTCCTGTCCCTCTATACACAGTTGCAGGACCAGGAACCTGGGGGTTGTTATGTAGGAAACTTTTCAACTTTAACTCACTGTGGCTTTGCTATAAACAGAGCGTGGAAGTCCTGATACTCAGAGTAAAAAGCTTTTTGTCCATTTCTTTGCAGTGGTGAAGATTGGAATCAAATGCAGTCTCAGGAAGAAGATGTGGCAATAACTGAACAGGACCTCGAACTCATTAAAGAAAGAGAAACAGCAATCAGGCAATTAGAGGTGACCAGTAGATCCTGCACAGTTAACAGTATTGGGAGATAAACCAAAGAAGTCATGCAGTGCTAACTAATGGGATGGGCTGAGGAGATCTGAAGGTGGAGGAACAGAGTTCCTTGTAGAGAGGATTGATGCCAAGATCAATCTCCCTGCTTCTGTTGAAGGAGACTAGGTATATTTTCCTTCAGTGTTAACTGGTGGTCCTTCAGAAATGGTAGGAACAACTCATGCTACAGTGTTCATCTCAATTCCATACTGTGCTATTGGCTGGTGTGATGAAACAAATACCGAGTAGCATGAATGTTGTAGACTCCTGTATTAATCCTGAGTTCCATGGGTAGCAGTATTGCTACCTCAGCCAGTGAATGATGATATCTATTCTGACATTTGAGCAATGGTCAGAAGACGTATTAAGAATGCGGTTTAGAAAAATTGTAACCAATGTTTGTTATAACTGGTCAAACTGTTGTCTTCAGGCAGACATTTTGGATGTCAATCAGATATTTAAGGATTTAGCCATGATGATTCATGACCAAGGAGATATGATTGGTAAGTGTGTCTGAATAATAGGAAATTTCTTTTTAGTTCAATTACATACTTTGCCTACACAGATTAAATTTTCCAGTATTTTGTATAAAAAAGTATTGTATTTCTGATTATTTTTTAAACACTGAAGCTCTGAAATGTTTTACAATTACTTCTTTAATTTTTACGTAGATAGCATAGAGGCAAATGTGGAAAGTGCAGAAGTTCATGTGGAAAGAGCCAGTGAGCAGTTACAGAGAGCTGCCTATTATCAGGTAAATTCTGTATACTTGGCATTATTGTCAAAGTACTGTTGAGCAATAATGAAACGGGCATAAAGAGACACGTACTGAGGACTGCAGCACACCAAACAAGTTATTAGAAACAGCTTGTGCAAGTTGGCACTCAGTCAGAATTGTACTGCAAGGAACAGATAAAGCACTTGAGTCAAAAACGCCATATTGAAATTAGCCTTCTACTTCAGAGGATATACAGTCAGTCCTTTCATGTCATTGTACGCAGCAAGTTTAACTGTGTAGCTGTCTTTGCTGTTGTCAGGAGTGAGCGGAGCAGTTAAACAAGGGCGAATTCCCACATTGTATCCATCTTGTAAGCCTCTCAGCCAAGACAGTGATGTGCAGAAATCCTTGCCCAGACTGGGGAAACTGCTGGTGACCAGGATTTGCAGCACCCTTCGTTCCAACTGCTGAGTCTCTGTCCTGTTGTCTGTCCTCCCTGTCCCATCAAATCTCTTGCAGATGTTCTCACTGATGCTTAAATCTCCCTTCTGTATGATATTCAGTGTTTTCTGTAGGTTCCTTTCATCACTGTTGTCCCTGTAGGTCCAGGTTCTGTGAAGGAAGAAGGGTTCTGTTTCTGTCAGCCCCATGCAGAGCTTCACTGCTGGGACTTGAGGCTTCCACACAAGATAAAAAATTTGACTCTCTCAAGCCCTTAAGTGGGGAGGTACTAGAAGACAATAAAACTCCAGTGCTGTTTAGCACAAGGGAAGGAAAGTAGCTTTTACCATCTAGCAGCATTCTCTCTCTCCATGGCTTCCTTTATAAAGTTTTGAGGTATGCTATAAATCTGAGTTTGGGAGCTATTGCACATGGATTGCAAGCGTATTTCTGGTTGGAGAAGGAAGCGATTATGTATGTAATTATCCTTAATCCTTAGATATGAAGTTAAAAATACTTGGTGTATGAAAGACTAGTTTCCTGTGATGAAAAGTGATCAAAGCTGTAATACCCACGTACAGTAACAGTATATTAAATCATTTAAACTGTAGAAATGCAATACCATTTCCACACCAACCCCAAGTGGCCAAGGGGAGATTGTACTGGAGACTACGTAGTTTTATTAGTCTTACCTGGAGATTCTGAATAGCTAGAGATGTTTGCCTTTCCTTTGAAGCCATGGTGTTAGATGAAAAGCATACGGTAGGTGTTGTCAAGTTGAAGCAAAGCTTGCATTTTCCTTGAGAAGCAAAACTTGTCACATTTTGACTTAACTGCATCTCTTGGACCTTGTGCTTCTAAAACTAAAAACTTACCTCTAGGATCATGCAGTTTAAGGAACATGTAGAAGTGTTCAGACTACACTGGTAGTAAGTACTATCAGCACTGGTACTCTCTTGAGTAAGTATGGGTATCAAATGACCTAGGTCCTGAAGTTAGTAACATTAACTGGTAGACTTGCTTTTTCCTCTTGTCAACTGTTCCTGGCATCAGTGGCTTTTTTTTTTTCTTTTATTAGAAGAAATCCCGTAAGAAGATCTGTATCCTGATTCTTGGTCTTGCTGTGGCTTCTATAATCATAGGATTCATTATCTGGCAGACAGCAAAATCTTCACATGGAACCTAGTCTCACTGCTGAGGTTTTTTCCCTTGGAGTAAACAGTCTGACTAGTCTCGGAAATGAATTGACCACCGTGAGAGAGCACAAGCTGGACCTACTCTAGTAATAGATATTAGCAACCAATGTGCAGATAACTAGTATTTGGAATTAGTGAACCATGGAGACAGTATTTATCAGTTTATATACAAATTATATTGTTTTATGTAACTAAAATCTTGTGGTTTTCTTTCTGTAATGTATTATTCCCTGTCCCAACTGTATGCTGAAGTGTGATCAATAATTGGAGATGTCTTGGTTTTGACAAGTGGCACTTTAACATTTTATATGTATAGGTAACTTTGTTGGACTGGAATAAGAATGACATTCAAAGAGAGCACAACACTGATTCACATTACCTTAATTCCAGCAGTTTCTAAAGTCTCCATTATCTGCCCCGTGGTTTTATTAGTCTCCAAGTGGCTGTGGTTCTATATTCTCTTGAAGAGAAAGATGTTACAGATCTGAAAAACGAGAAGTATACGTGGATGGCAGTTGGAACCAGTGCATGCTGGTCAGTTTAGCCTGGAGATTCGTAACTGTGGTGTTTAATTTTTTGAGTGTGGTTGGGGTTGTTTTTTTTCCAAAATGCATCATTTGAGAACAAGATGTTCTTTGACTTCTAATCTAACAATGCAATTTCCTTGGAGAAACTAGCTGGTGGTTTATTATTGGACAAATAAATCTCTTCTAATGCTGACTTTCAAGCACTAGAAATACAGAACTTAGATATTCACTCCTTTTTTTTGAAGCTTCCAGGGAGAAAAATCCCACAAAGATGAGGAAGTGGGCACCTTTGTTTACAAGCTAGCAAGATAGATGGCTATTAGCTGAAATCTTGCTTCTGAACAAGTACTCTTGAAGCTCACTTGTAGCATACCAGTAAATATTACACGTGGCTTGTGAACATCTGGTATTTATTTTCCATTCTTTATGAAACAGTGCAAAAACTGGCTGAGGGAAGTGCTAGATCTTTCAGACTGAGGATGTGCGTGCAAATGAAGATCGCTGGTTCCAACTGTACCAGTAGAGTGGGAGAGAACATAGCAGCCACTCCCTGCTTTGATGTAGCTCTGAACTGACATGCACTGAGGGAACAGTAATCTGTCCAAAGCCCAATGGAGTGTGGTAAATGCAGCGTACTGACCCATTTTGTATTTAATCCTTGTTCCATGTCTCCTGTATAATAAAGTAAATGTGAAAGCTGGGGAGCATGTTCTCCCAATTGCACAGTGGTTTGCACTATTGTGCCATCATTCCATCTAATAACCATCAATAAATACTTTTAAAAGCCTCTATCAGAGCTTCTTTCTCTTGTAGTTTAGACATTGGCATGGGTATGTTTGCAGTTCCTTCTGTAAGCAAATAGAAGACTCTATCACCAACAGCAGTGTTTCCTCCAGTTTTAGTTCTGTGGTTCCTGATTCTTAAGAATGAAATTAACTGAAAACACTGAATGACTTTCACATGAACACACACAAAGCTGTGCAGAGCAATGTACAACAGCTGATCACAGAAAAATTAATCTCATGCCTCAGAACAGTGTTTGGTCAACTTTGACTATTTGCCTGTTGCTAGAACTTCCAGTCTTTGTTGAGCCTGAATGGCAAAACAGGGGAAGGGAGCTGTGTGTCATTCTGCTTATTAACTAAAATATTCCTCCTACATGGTAGATCCTGCTGCTTTATGCATTGCCTGCTCCAGGGACATACATCTCCATGTGAAAATCAAAGCGCTTGCCTCATTCCCATGTTTCAAAGGGAGACTGAGTCACTTGTGGGATAATAGAATCACAGAGTAGTTTGGG